CAGTCAACAATAGCCTCGATATTCTATAGATCCATTGATATGCCATCTTTGTTGATTACATGTCCCAGAAATGCCACCCTGTCAGGCCATAATTCATATTTGGACAATTTTGCATATAATTTCCTTTCTCTCAAAATTTGTAGAGTAGTTCTCAGGTGATTTTCAGGTTCTTTCCTGCTTTTGGAATAAATCAAGATATCATCAATAAATACAACGATAAATTCATCAAGATATTGTTTGAAAACCCTGTTCATTAGGTCTATAAATGCTACGGGTGCATTGGTTATCCCAAATGGCATGACTAAAAATTTATAATGCCCATATCTAGTTCTAAATGCTATTTTCTCAACATCTTCTGCTTTGACCTTTAACTGGTGATATTCGGATCTAAGGTCTATCTAGGAGAACACTTATGCTCCCTGAAGTTGGTCAAATTGGTCATCTATTTGGAGTAATGGGTATTTGTTCTTCACGGTTACTTTTTTCAACTCACGATAGTCAATACACAGCCTCAAAGACCCGTCTTTCTTTTTGACAAACAACACTGGAGCTCCCCAAGGTGAGGTACTTGGACAGATGAATTTCTTGTCTTAGAGTTCTTGGAGTTGGACTTTCAACTCTTTCAATTCAAAAGTTGACATTTTGTAAGGAGTCTTGGAAATAGGTTGTGTTCCAAGTACTACATCAATCGTAAACTCAATTTCCTTATCAATTAAGTCCCTGGATAGGTCATTAGGAAACACATCAAGAAAGTCACAAATCACAGGAATAGTTTCCTCACTGGCATTATTCGAAGACATAGTAAACACACAACACAAGTATCCCTGACAACCTTTTCTTAACAATTTCCTGGCTTTCATAAACAAGATCAAGTATGGCGGGAGAACCACCCCATTTCCAGTAAAAACAAACTCAGGGATACCAAGTGGTCTAAACACAATAGATTTACCCACACAATCAATGGCGGCATAGTATTTCGACAACCAATCCACACCCAGAATACAATCAAAATGATCAATGCTCAAAGGCAACAAATCAACATTCAATTTCATATCACCAATCATAGCATCATATGTCGGATATACATAAGCACATATCATAGAAATTCCAGAGGGTATAGACATAGATAGTAAACAATTCATAGGTTCTAATGGTCTAGTTAGCTTTCGAGAAAACGCATACAATACAAATGAATACGTGGAACCAGAATTTATCAACACATAGGCATTCTGAGCACATATAGAGAATATACCTGACGCCACAGATTCTTTGTTCCGTACATCCCCAAGCACCAGTGCAAAAACTTTTCCTTGCCTTAGCGTTTCATTCTCGGTGTTACCCCTGGCATTAGTTCTTGCATTGGTCCTTGTTGCAGGAGCGGATCTGGCTGAACTTGCTACCGGATGGTTAGCATTGTCGAACCTCATTGGACAGTCTCTAATCATGTGACCAGTCTTGCTGCACTGGAAACACGCACTTGATGCACGATGACACGTGCCTTTATGCTTCCTTCCACATTCTGAACAGATTGGCATAGAACCACTGCTTTGGCCTAAACTGCTTGAAGATCCGGTATTTTGCTTCTTGTTCATAAAGAATGAACGGCCCTTCTGAAAATTGGATCCTGATCTTTTGCTTTTTTATTTTTTTGTTGGTGCGTTGGCTTGTTTCATTGCTGTCAGGGTGGCTTCCGCCATTATTGCTCTGTCTAAGACCTCCACATAGGTAGGCAACTTCAAGATGCCTACTCGATCAAACACTTCCAAATCTAAGCCGCCTTCAAATTCTCGCACCTTTTTGTAATCAGTATCCATCATAAGTGGAGCAAATCGAGCCACCTCTGTGAATTTGGATCCATACCTCCGTGAATTTGGATCCATACTCAGCCACGAACATCTTGCCCTGCTTAAGTTCTTGAAACTCAAAGACTTTTCGATCTCTGAAGCATTGGGAAAAGTACTTGTCATACAAGATTTCATTGAATCGAGCCCATGTCATATTCCCATTACTATCTCGGATTAATAACCACCACCTCTAGGCTTCATCTTTGAGAGTGTAGGTGGCCAATAAAACCTTCTGAATCTCGGTACAAGGGAAAACTTCAAATAACTTCTCCATTTCCAATAACCATGTTTCTGCCTTTAGTGGTTCAATACCCCCCTAGAGAGTTGGTGGTTTCGTCTTCATGAACTTCTGGGTTAAGTTGATTATGTCATTATTATCCAGTTCAACTTGGACCGGCAGAGGCGGGGGAGGTAAAGGTTGTTGCCTCTGTTGTTGCGTCATTGCTTCTGTCAGGGCTACAAGCATTTGTTCTATTCAGCTTATTCGAGCCTCAGATGATTCAGCTGTTCCATCAGTTCTTGTATTTTCCATTTGCTATAGGTAAACAGAGCACTATAAACATAGGCAAATAGTCCTTTTCACATTATTCAGATCATTCATTTTGATGTCATATAGTCATGGTTAGATTTAGTTTTCACTTTTAAAGAACACACACACACTCACACATGCAGATAGAATGCCTATACTTCTTAATAGAACATCCTAAGCTCATATGGACTCATGTGTGCGATAGAACACGTGCTCTGATACCACTCTGTCATGACCCAAACCTGTCCCTATAGGTTTAGCATCGTAACCAGCTAGTAATCCTTGGATTATCGAAGGCCTCTGAACAAAATAACATATACTTAGGGGTTGAGGAAGCAATATACAAAATATACGCAGTACATTGAGTTGTGTTGACATACATGGGACTGAAACTTAAAACTTTATATAAAATACATATATATGACGTCATAATACATAAGACTTATGGCAATATGTAGGTACAACCAAAAGGTACTTAACCCAAAGTACGGTTGAACAAAACAAACAAAAACATCTTTCCCGAGATTCACAACTTGACTGATCAAAAGGAAATCTCCTCGGAAGGCATAGTGGCTAGCTGACCTAACTTTTCAGGCAGCTACTTAGACCTGGTCACGCGCCTGCTCACCTACATACATAATATAAACAGTGAGCAAAAGCCCAATGAATAATAACAGAGTAAAGGGTTAAATGAATGATGTCTGATAACTAATTCAACAAACATAAACAGATTCATATTCACATTCTTGTTCGAGTCAAACAGAAATCAGAGTTCACACTTAATCTTACATCCGTTAGCACTAACAGATCACATACGGAGCATCAAAGGTCATACTTGTTAGTTCCATAAAGGAACCTTCGGCTGGGTATAGATAACTTGTCAGTTCCATAGAGGAACCTCTAGACCGGGTACTGACAACTTGTCAGTTCCATAAAGGAACCTTCGGCTGGGTACTGATGACTTGTCAGTTCCATAAAGGAACCTCCGGACCAGGAACTGATAACATACTTGAGCCATGGAGTTGTCAGAAATTGAACAATCATTCATTGTACATAACATAACATTTCATCGAACAAATCATATTCCGTATACAGAAAATAATAAAGTTGAACATAGTTTTACTACGTTATTACTCACAGATGGTTCGAAGTTGACAACAGAGTAGACATATCAGATAACTTACGGCACGTAACCTACACAGATACAGAACGAATACGTACTGAATTATACACCAAAAATCATTAGCTTAGTTCTTTCTTATTTTGGGGTGTTTCTACTTTTTACCCTCATTATTATGTCTTAATCTTAGCCTAGGAATGCCTAGGATGCAATGAGGAGGCTAAAATACACTTGAAAGCATTTAACAAAATTTGCTGAAAACGGGGGTCTCGCTCGAGCGCAACTTCTCTCGCTCAAATGGGCATGTAAAATGTGAGTGGTTGCTTGAGCATAACCTCTGTCGCTCTAGCAGTCTGTAAACTCTGCAAAAGTCCTAGTTTCTTGATTTTTCCGCTCGACGCTCGCGCGAGCGTGAGTCTCATACCTTCGCTCGAGTGCAACTCTTGTCGCTCGAGCGGTCTACAAAACATGTAACCTTTTGGAAGCTTGGATTTCATGCTTGAGCGAACTTTTGGTCACTCGAGGGGAAGTCCAAGATCATGGAGTGGTCCCTCGAGCACATGTTTTGTTGCTCGAGCAGAGAGATCGAATTCTGGAATTTCTAGATTCACCTCCAAGCTGCAAAACTCAAATTCAATGCCTTCAAACTCAACCTTTGGGTCCCAAAACTCGAGAAAACATGTCTAAACTTGGAAAACATGGAGAATTAAAGACTATTTCATGAAATCAATGTCCAAAAGCTTGCCAATTGCTTAAAAGTCAACTCAAAACTTTGAAACATATCATATATGCAATGGAGTGAGTTCAAGCTTCTAAATCATGATCAAAGAAGGCAAATTGATGGAAAACATGGTGACTTCTCAAAACCATGGTAGACTCGGTGGATGCATGTGGGAAATCTTAGCAATTAAGCTCAAAATGGAAGAAAATGTGCATGCATGCATGACGTGTTCCTTCTTCCTACCTCACTAGCTTAATTCTTTCATAATTCAACTAAATTCTCTTGAATGCTTGTAAGGGTGAGTCAAATGAAAGCTTAAGGAATTAAAGTTTTACCTAAAGTCCTCAATTCTTTGAATTCTTGGTGAGTCCAAGCTCAATTCTCCAATTGCCCCTTAATTGCTTAGCCTCCCTTTCCTTCTTGAAATCAACTCTCACCCTCTAATTCTCCTTCTCCCTCACGTTTTGTTGCTCAAGATGATGGTAGGATTGAGTCCACTCAATTACAAGTGGCCTATTTATATGCTCGATTAGCCTATGCTAATTAATTGTGATTAGAGCAAAGTTGATTCAACTTAATATTTAATTTATTCTAATTATTTGATTCCGAATCGAATTTTCTAACTCTAAGCTTTATCTAAATGTGCCATTGGTGCTTTGATTTCAAAACCTAACCCTTATTGAATATCTGTTATTAATTTTTTTTTATTAGTCAAAATTACTATATATATATATATATAGGTGGGTATGACAGAAGTCAAAACTTGAATGAGGGTTGCTCTGCCAGCTAAGCTAAGGGTTCTAGCTTTCCAACCTGAGAGTCTGCTTTCATTTTGCCCAGGATTTTAGTGAACAGGTTTCTAGTGACTCTCTGATGGAGTAGGGGGGAGCCAGGATATTTTCCAAGGTTATGAGTGAGGGGAATGCCACTTTGAAAAGTAAGAGCTCTGACCAGGTTTCTAGGAACATTAGGGGAAACAAAGAGTTTGGATTTAAGAAGATTGACTTTCTGAGTAGACACATCACAGAGCTCAGAGAGGGTATCCATGATGGTTTCACAATTAGGTGAGTTAGCTTGAGCAAAAAGAATAAAATCGTCAGCAAAGAACAAGTGGGATAGGGATGGGCTATTTTTAGAAGCCTTGATGCCCTTCCAAGAACCCTCATGAACCTTACAATGGATCATGTTGGATAATCTTTCCATACAAAGGACAAAAAGATAGGGTGAAAGAGGGTCTCCTTGTCTAAGACCTCTCCTATTGTGAATCTCATCAGTGATTTCACCATTCCACAAGATGGAAGAATGTTTATTGGTGACACAACTCATAATCAGATAAACCCAAGTACCATTAAGCTTGAAATCCAGAAGTGTGTCTTTGATGAAGGTCCAAGAAAGTCTATCGTAAGCTTTTTCTAAATCAATTTTGAAAATCATGCCACCACTTTTGCCTTTCTTATGCCTTAAAGTATGCAAGATCTCTTGAGTGATAATGATATTATCCGTAGTGTTTTTACCAGGGATAAAGCTACTTTGATTAGGAGAGACAATGGTGTCTAAAAGAGGTCTAATTCTTCCCACAATAATCTTGGTTATAATCTTGTAAGTAACATCACACAGTCTAATGGGACGAAATTGAGTAATAGTTTCAGGACTATCAACCTTAGGGACTAAGACTATTAGGGTTTCATTTACCTCAGGAGGCACAGTTTTGTTATGAAAACAGGATTTAACAAACTCACAAACTGATTTATCTATATAATTCCAGTAGGTCTTATAGAAGATGGCCTGCATGCCATCTTTCCCTGGTGCTTTAAAAGCACCAATGGCTTTGACAGCCCTAAGGATTTCAGCATTGGAAATGGGTTTAAGGAACCGAAAGTTGTCATCATGGGTAAAGTATGTTGATGCTAAATTATTCCAGTGGTCTAGTTGGATAACATCTTCACAATTAAAAAGGTTTTGGAAATAGTCAAGGATGGCAGCGTTAATCTCATTAGCCTTAGTGAGCCAGGTACCAGCAGTGTCCTTAAGTGCATTGATTTTGGTTTTCCTTCTCTTGGTAATAGTGGAAATGTGAAAAAACTTGGTATTTCTGTCACCAAGAGTGATGTGTTTGGCCCTAGATTTTTGAAACCAAAGAGTTTCCTCCTGAAATAGAGTAACATTATATTGTTTTAAAAGATCTTGTTCAAGGACATGAAGATTATCAGAAAAGTGATTAGCTAAGGATCTTTGGATGCCTTCTATCCTTGCAAGAAGGTGTCTTTTCCTCTTAAAAATATTGCCAAAAACCTTTTTGTTTCATTTAGTCACTTTACGGGTGAATTCAGCAGTAGAATCAAGGAGGTTATTGTGCATATCACACCAAGAAGAGTTAATGATATGAATAAGGCCAGAATGAGACATCCAGGCAGCCTCAAATCTGAAAGGCCTCTGAGAGGGATTAAGAGAGTGCATACCTTGGGTGTACACTAGAAGGGGGGAGTGGTCTGAGTATGTGCGAGGAAGGACTCTCACAGTGGCTTCTGGAAACATTGTTCTCCATTCAGGGTTGCTCAAGGCTCTGTTAAGTCTCTCCACAGTATTAGCCAAACCTTGACGATTATTAGTCCATGTCATTTTGGGTCCTGAGCTACCCAAATCAATTAAATTACAGTTATTGATCCTTTTTAAAAACTTTTGGGTTCTGGCAGTGGTTGTGTTTGGTGAGAAGCATCGTCTTTCTCCCTGACTTGCATAGTCATTGAAATCCCCAACTACCAACCATGGTCTAGACATGGTTTTTGCCACCTCTTCCAGTTCATCCCACAGGGTCTCCCTCATAGTAGGATTTAGACTGGCATAGACAGTAACGAGGACCTACTCTTCAAAATATTCTTTATGGATAGTTACATGAATAGCCTGTGGACTTACTGAATACTCTCTTACATTTACATAGTTAGTATCCCAGATGATCCAAATCCCTCCTACTCTACCAACAGGGTCTACAATGGTTGAGGCTGTGAAGCCTAGTAATTCCCATGGTGTTGAAAGGCACTTTAGTCTCCATAAGGACGATGATCTCAGGTTTATGGTTACGGATAATTTCCACAAAGTTTCTTTTGAAATTGTTATTGCCGGCTCAGTGAAAATTCCAAAAAAGAAGTTTTAATAAATCCATAGAAGGGTATTGAAGGGGAGAGTCAGTTACCAGGTCTTTAACAATGGTGCGAATCCTTCGCCGATCTGCCTCTGCTGATCTCATGGAGGCTAACTAGATTGAGGGTAGTGGGTTCTAGTATTGAGCCGCCCAGTTTAGGGCGGTTTCCATTTAGAGTTATTCGATCCACCAAACGAAAGTGACTAGGTGAGTTGCTTCTCTCCCCGGTTCTAACAATAGACTCACATTGTCCTTCTAGTTCCGGTGTTCGTTCACCTCTAGTGGTGAGTCCTTCGGGGTCTTGTGATCTTCCATCTCTATTGAATGTTTCACCTAGGTCTGGTGGTTCTCGATCTCGGTATATAGGAGTAAGGGAATTCTGAGCTGGGGTTGATTCTGGTGGATGAGTTTTGTAGGGGATGGGTTAACTTCGACCATAGTAGAGTCTTCTGGACTTGGGGTGTTTTCCAACGTAAAAATCATGTCAGAGGTGCTCTGCTCCTGCAATTGATCGCACTGATATGAGTTGTCACCTTGATTTGATCACCAGAAAGGCTCTTTGCGTGCAGTTCAGTGGTGTGTGAAGTTGAACTTTCCCCCTATTTTTTGCCAGACTACTTGGTGATTGCCATGTGTGTCTAAGTCCTTAGCTCTGTGGTGTTGAAGCCCTAGCTTGTTCTTTCCTTTAGGGTCTGTATTTTGTGATGGGCCAGTTAGGGAGATGGGCTTTCCATGGCCTTTCCTCCTGCATTTTGAGAATTCTTCTTTCCCTTTTGGATAGCTCTATGGCCATCTTGGCCCACTTCCAAATACTGAAAAGGGTTGGTGTTAGTAGTGGTGCTAGTAGGCTCATGGGCCCTCTTGTGTTGGTCTAGCCTCTTAGTGTGTTTAGTTACTAACATCCATGGGCCAAAAGCTTCATCTTCCTCACGCTGTTGATACAGGTGACCGTTACCTATCACAGATTGGGGTTCAGACTTTTCGATAATGGAAATAGCTATATTTTCCCCCACCGGCGCAGCACTGGGGGTTTTGAATCGACATGCCTCCTTTCGATGGTCAATTTTTCCATAAAGAAAACAGAAAGAATGCAAAGATTCATATTCAATGTTATAGACCATACCCTCTAACATGAATTTGGGTTTTAGAGGTTTATTGAGATCCATCTCGACACAGACCCGAGCAAACTTTCCTCTTGTTGCCATTGCAGTATTTCAATCAATTTTTAGTGGTTTGCCAATAGCTTTGGCTATCACAAATAGGACTTTCTCTTGATAGTATTCAATCGGAAGCTTAGGAAACTGAACCCAAACTGTGGTTGTGGTTTCAAAGGCTTCCGATGGTTTAAAGTTTGGTTCCCAATGTCTCACTGTGAGATAGTGATCCATGATAACCAATGGTCCCCTGTAAAGACTTTAGCACAGTCAGTTTGATTAGAGAATTTAAATAGGAAGTAATTACTACCCAGGTCAATTGCATTAAATTTGCCCTGAAGACTCCAAATGTTTTTGACTTTGGAGTAGAGCATTTTGTAACCAATATTCTTTCCTAACAATCTGATAATGAGTGCATTCTCCCATGGTTTTCTAATTTTGGCCAGAAGCTTCTTAGGGAGAGAGATGGTGGGGAGTCCTCGCTGTTTTGGAGGTGTGCCTTGAATGTTAGATTGGCCCTTTGGAAGATCATCATCATCTTCATTGGACGATTGAATGTTCACTCTGTTATCAAAGGTGTAGTCACTGTTATTGACAGAGGTTAGGGCTTCTGTGAAAGATTTAGGAGGGACAAGGCCCATGTCTGGGTGTCTCTGATCCCCAAGTTCATCCTTGGGATGTTCTGTTTCCATATCAATCACTTTGCCTTCACTAGCTTCCTTCGTAGAATCTGAGCTTTTGATTTTCTTTGTTCTTCTAATCAAATGGTCTTCTTCTTCAGAGGACTTTTCTTGGGTTAGTTAATCACGATGAGCAGCAGACCTGAGTTGGGTGGTGCCGGAGTTAGTGTTTGTGGGATGGTCCATATCTTTGTTTGTACAGCCCATTAACATAATTCATTCCTCCTCCTCCTTTGAATATGGGTTTTATTTATTTAATTTGTAATAATGGGGTTTTATTTATAAGTCAATTTTAAATCAACACAGTTACCTAATACTTGCTTTTCAAATCTCATTCTGCTCCTCTAATTTTTTTTATTTTTTGGTTTTGTTATTATTAATAAGATATTTTGGATTTAAAAAAGAAGATCAAAGATGTCCTTCGAAAGTCCCTAGATAGAAAATGTCTAACACTACTTCAATTTTGGGCACCCACAATGACAGAGGACTAGTCTTATCTTACAACTCAAAACCAACCTTTCGCTCCTTCTACATTTGATCGAAGAATTGATGATGTTAAAGGACTTTGTGGGTATAGGATGATCTCTAAGGGCTATAACTTTTACATAGATAGAGAGAGTTCTGATGAACAACTTGGGGTTCCTGGCCGTGTGTTCAACCATGGAATTCCCGAATTCACTCTCAATGTAGAATATTACTCTATCAAAGAGTATCCATTACGCGACCATGCTTTACGTTGCCAAGTTAAACAATCTTGGGCTGTCTCACTGTTTGATCCTTTTACCCACTTATGTGTTGATGTGCTTGAGATAGTTTCAACAATGCCCTCAAAGGGATTTCAATCATACCATGACTACTCTGTTTGGCTGAAATTCCATAATTATTTTAAGGTTGGTCACCCAACTCACAAATTGGCATTTTTTTTGTCTTTCGAATCTTGGTTGATTCATTCTTTTCTTATATGTAAGCAGAAATGTGTTCCTTGGATAATTATTATTTTTTTTTAAAACAAAATTATCATAAAAAATAGATGAGATGTGTGTTTTTAATAGGGTAAATCACAAAAATATAGTTTGTTTAAAATACAGATTGCCCCATGTGACTATGAAAAGTATATCATGCCTCTACCAATTTCTAATTGTATAGAAAATGACTCATTTTATTAATAAATCATCAACTATTGTGTGGTATCTAGCCTATTGAACCGATTAATCCATTAGACCAACAATTTTTTTTCTTTAATCATTTAGTTTGTGCATATTTGTCCTATTATAATTGAACATGACTACGTGCTCCTCATGTGTTTATTCTGCATAAAATTCATAGTTTTTTAGACCAACTAAACACAAATTAAAAAAATTAAAGTGCTAATCTTTTGAAATCAAAATTAATCGGACCAAAAAAAAATAATACAGGATGAAGCTAGATGGACCATTAGCACAACTACTATTTGTTTATTTTTTTTTATCTTGCCAGTGCCGAATGGCATGTGAGGAGTATGTAAGTTATCAATATCAATGTGACACAAAATGTAAAATTAAACGGTAAATTGTTATAATTAAAATTATAAGATCCAAAAATATACAATGAATAAGCTATTGAATTGAGGATAAGATAGTGTGTTGCTTATCTTCTTAGCATGAGTTTCTATGCTAGAAAGAAAGAAATCAAAACAACAAGTTGTATTTTTTTATTGCATTCCGTGCTCATTTAGGTGTGACTGAATTGTTTTTCCATTATAAAGTTTCTTATATGCTTCCTTTTCTTAGCAAACAAATATTCCACATTTCAAAGTGTACAAGATTCATTAGTTGCATCTTTCCATTCCCCTGTAGGAGGAAGGTTTGGAATCTTCAATTTCAAATACAGACCATCATGAGGTTTTGGTAAGTGATACACTGTAATGCATGTCAAATTTGATATTTTATTTTATTTTTTAAATTAATATGATAAGGAATATCTTTTGACAATACTTGGACATGACAATACTTTTCAACCAGAAAGGAAGACAACGTGAAGCCTTAAATGAAATCATCAAGGTGTTGAAAGTTGTGCGTGAAGTTCATGGTTTACATTTTGCTCAAGTATGGGCCCCGTGCAGGGTAGACGGGACATGCAGGGCTCTAGTTAAGGGTGGCATCTTCCATGTGATAGTCAAATTCGATTACGATTACAACTAAGAACTATTCAATATGGCCAAAGTTGAACAAGATTTAAGAAAGGGGCAAGGAGTTGTTGGGAGAGCATTCCACTCGCCTAATGTATTATTTTGCAAGGATGTAACCCAACTTAGCATAATTGACTACCCATTTGCATACAATGCACAAGATGATAAATTAGGGTGTTGTTTCGCAATATGCTTGCAAAGTAGTTGCATCGGAAATGACCTTTACATGTTAGAGTGCTTTATGCTGCGAAGCAACAAAGACTATGGCAATCAACAGACTGCATTGAGGAAAGTATTGGAAACAATGAAGAAAATTTTCCAAACTTTTAAGCTTGCTTTTGGAGAAGAACTTGGGGAACATTTATGTATTGAAGAAATTTTCAGAATGGTGAGAAACTTGGTTATGTTCAAATGTCCCAAACTACTAAATCTTTGCCTAGCCTGGAGCCCTTACAAAGTGGAGGAGAGATGACACAATTGGATTCATCGAATCAACAATCAATGGATGCATTAAACAATGGAAGCAATGTTGTACGTGCGGAAAGAAGCAACATTGATGTTACTTGTTCACAGGAGAAAGGCAAAACAAAGAGGCCAAAAAGAGTGCACAATAAAATTGGAGTTAAAATTGAAATTTGTTCAGATGATGTCCTAGAAAATTCAGTAAAGAGCATCCAGGTTGCTGCATATAACCTCAAAGGTATCTACACTCTTAACAAATTAAAATAGAATATTTCTTGTGATTTTACTTATTATTTTACTTGGATAGAGAGAGTTCTGATGAACAACTTGGGGTTCCTGGCCATGTGTTCAACCATGGATTTCTTGAATTCACTCCTAATGTAGAATATTACTCTATCAAAGAGTATCCATTGCGTGACCCATGCTTTACATTGCCAAGTTAATCAATCTTGGGCTATCTCACTGTTTGATCCTTCTACCCACTTATGTGTTGGTGTGCTTGAGATAGTTTCAACAATGCCCTCAAAGGGATTTCAATCATACCACTACTCGACTTGGCTAAAATTCCATAATTGTTTTAAGGTTGGTTCCCAAACTCACAAATTGGCATTTTTTTTTGTCTTTGTAATCTTGGTTGATTCATTCCTTTCTTATATGTATGCAAAATTGTGCTCCTTGGATAATTAATTATTTTTTTCTAAATTTATATAAAAAAAGATGAGAAGTATGTTTTTAATAGGGTAAATTACAAATATATAGTTTGTTTAAAATACAGATTGCCCATGTAATTCTGAAAAGTATATCGTGCCTCTTCAAATTTCTAATTGTATGACAAATTACTTATTTTATTACTAAATCATCAATGGCTGTGTGGTATCTGGCTCATCGGACCAACTAATTCTACAGACCAACAATTTTTTCCTTTAATCTTTTAGTCTGTGCATATTTGATCCTATTATAATGGTGTGAGAATAATATTAGTATAGTATATATTATGAGAATATTGTTTGCTATTTAGGATTGGTTTAGGTTTATTCTTGTTTCTTATTTAGGATTATGTCTAGAATTGCTCTCTCTATATATATATATATCCGATGTACACATTGTATTAAAACACAATTGAATATACAGTTTTATTCAGAAAACTAACATGGTATCAAAGCAGAATAAGGGAGAACTATGGTCAACCAAAGAAGAACCAAGTCACGAGACTCAGAACAAGAGATAGAAAGGTGTCGTGATGCAATGGGTCACGACTCTGACAGATGTGACTAACGTCGCAAGTCCAGCAACAGGTGATGATGAAGCCGAAGAACTGATGCCGCAATTCCAATAGACAAAGTTGACCAGAGAAGTTCAAACTAGATTACCAGACTAAGTAGGCGAACCGAAGAGGGTTGTGAATCGAAGCTGAGATGACGCAACGATGGGTCATGATGATGTAGTTGATGGGTCGCGATGCAAGGACAGATGGGTCGTAACACTCAAGAGACCAATTTGTGACAGACAACATTGCGATTCTGGAGAGAAAACATGATTTTCATGGTCACCTACAGGCCTTGAATTAGACACGTTTCAAGATTAGAAGAGTTGTAAAGAACTTGACGGGATAGAGGGTGATCTGATAACTCGAACTTGATCGAATCCAAAGAGCAAAATCATAGATGATTTCGAACCAGAGGGAACCTTCAAATTGAAGGAAGAACTTCGAACCAATCAGAGGTAAGAACTAGGGTTTCAGA